GCAGAAAATAAAATCCTAACCAGGCCTTTATATATAGAATTAAAACCCAAATAAATAAAGTCAAGAAGATGAGTATAGCAACAACGTTCTTAAATGTTTGTAGGAGATATATATATATATATATATATATATATATATATATATATATATATATGTAATAAATAAAATAAAAAATGCTGCTTCCTTTGAATTTTGAAATCTAGAACGCTGCATAATGCAGTAAATTGAAAATTTGAAATATCTGAATTTACAGAAATACGTATACGCATTCACAGACACTTTAACCCCCCCCCGAAGATGTCCCTAGATGAGTCTGAAAGTACTTGGAAAAATAAAAAAAAGTATTTGGAAATAGATTTTGGTATTTTTCGAATAAACTATTTTCTAAGGAAACCAAAAATTAATTAATTGAACTTGAAAGGATAATTCCAAAATAAATCGACACAACCACACATTATATATATATATATATATATATATATATATATATATATATATATATATAATCATCAAATATACATCAAAATTCTCATTCTCATAAGATAAATAACAAATAGCAAGTGTGTATCAATCTGACATATTTCACTTTTATTAAAGCTTCGTCAGAGATTGAGAGAAAAACAACGAAAAAGTCAGAACTCTGCTATTTTCAATTTTCATTGGCTCGATTCTCATTGGTTACTTGGTTGTATCACGTGCATGAAACCCGTAAATAATTCTATATGTATGTAAGTTTGTAACATTTCTAATATGTCTAAGTGGGCATCGGATGGTAATATATATTCGCAATTGTGTACGCTGTCTGTCTAGTAAATTCAGTTCTAAAAGTATTCAATTTATATAAAGGCTGATGGTATTGGGTCTGTTTTCTTTAAAACACGTAAAAAGCATCCATTATATATATATATATATATATATGTGTGTGTGTGTGTGTGTGTGTGTGTGTGTGTGTGTTAGTTCCTTTGAGAATAGAAACAAAGAAAGATGGTGTTGGAATGGAATATTTAAGCGTGTCTTTAGTTGATAATAATGCTATTATTAATCATTCAAATTACCAGCTTTTTTCTTGAAAAGGTTCCGAAAAGACTGGTGTTACGTTATAAAATACCTGATGTTTTTATCCGAAAAAAATCTTAAATTTTGATTTTCCAAGATTAGAAGATGTAAATATCGGCCGAAAGTACAGGGCATCAAAGAGGATCGTCAAATCTTTTATAAAGTAAATGTGCTCATCATCAGAGTTTGAATACTAGCAAGAGCGTTTCTATATATATATAGATGCTTCCATTGTTTGTAACTGTTCTTTTTTTGCATGTGTTGAGGTTATTATGCCTAGTCAGCATTTTTCAAACATAGATATTTATTGACCCCCACTGAACTCAGGTTGTGACACAAACCCAAAATTTAACGTTTATTCCCGAATGTTTTCACTATGACCGTGTGGTCCAAGGTTGTCTTAGCTGGTCATAGCTTTTTCAAGCAGTCAGAGCATGGTCAAGAATTAGTCAGATAATAAAGAAACCACCAGCCCAGGGAACAGTACTGTGCCAGGTGGTATCATAATATTGGATTTTCCCATTCTTGATGTTAGAATTCAAATGATTTCATTACATTTATGTACGTCGTTGATGCCATTAGAAAAAAGGGATGAATCCATCTTTTCTTCTATCTGCAACTATGGGTTAAATAACAAGACTGTTTTTCAGCTTAGAAACAACAATTTCTGCGGTAAGATTTTCTATATAGTTAGACCAGATATGATATCAGATCAGATATGCTGTATATGTCTGTAGAAGTCAAGTGACTTACCTGCCAAAATGGCGGCCTTCTTTTTTCCGTTTCGTTTTAAAGCAAGCCAGGATGAAGGCTTTACCTCATTTTAATGGAGAGTGCCTAATGTCAGGACAAAGATTGGTCCATTTTGCTAGAATGGACCTGCCCAAACATTTGCATGAGTGGTTCTTTATTCACCCATATATTTGAACATGAAAAACTCGAAAAGTTTTTGGAACTGGCTAACAAATGCCTAAATAAATTGCCGGCCCTACGCGGAATCGCCGTTCCTTGTCATTTTAACTCAAGCCATGATTTCCGCGTACGCCGATGACGTAACTGCTTTTCAGTCGTCCACCCCAGAGGCATTTCAGGCCACTAAAGAAGGTCCCTTTTATCGGAACCAAAAGGTTATATTAACCCAGATTAACCGCGACAAGTCGACCGGCTTGCGGCTAGGCGTCTGGAATCTTAAGTCGATGTTCCAAAATTGGTCGGAAGGACGGACGGTCCTTTCCGCATTCTTCGGAGTGTGGTTTTACCCGACCTCCAAACTGGAGAAAAACATGTCTGAAGTAGAAACAAATTGTCGATGCCGCCTGTCAAATTGGCGTCGACGGAGGTTGTCCGTGAAGGAGGGGGACCGTGTATACAACATTTTATTTTGTTCTTTATCGAATGTCCGTAAAATCCTCTGTTTGACGACCACAGGAAACCGCTCGAATACGCTTTGTTGTGAAAGTGTATTTTATGGAGGAGACGCGGGAATCGGGTCGACAAAATTATTTGCACAACGTCCGTTTTTCGGGGGCTGGGAATGGTTTTTACTTAAATTGAGAATCAACAAACGTGCCTCGATGTTGGAGCTGATACGCCGCGCGTTGACAAAAAAAGATCCGATTAGTGGAAAAGGGCAAATAGAGGGCCGCTTTCCGTCGCCTTAAATCAGTTCCCCAAGTCGTCGAGGAAGGAGCGCCGTCGTAAAAGAATTGGTTCAATCGGTTTTCTTTCACGAGTGTCGGTCGGCCTTGTTGGCTGTCCTTGGTAAACAAGTGACCTTTCTCGGCCTGGAAAGACTTCTTCGTTTGCAAGAAGGAACATCAAAGAAGGTACCCCTTATCGCAAGGATCTCGACATGTCGGACGATGAAGTTTCGCTCTCACTGGTCTTGAACGCCAAAACGGAAAGATTTCCTCAGAATAATTTTCTGAGTTTTCGCAAACCTGGCGACTGGCTCGGAATCGGCTTCCTCTCAACGACAGGGCCTTCATATGGGGCTTGGCGGATTTGCCAACTGCGATCGGTGTGGCCTGTGGTAGAGACTCGATAGGAAACGGCTTTTACGCCTTCTTCCATTGCCCCTAGTGTCCGCCCCTTATGGGACCATTTCGGCCATGCTGACGGCTCGTCTCGCTCCCGAAAAGCTTTATTATAGATCGCGCATACGCGTGTATTAAATGTGTCCCCCCGTATTCCGGGGTGAAACGGATTACCACAATCACGCTGCTAGCCACGGCCCGAATGGTGATATGGGCGACGCGAGAGGAGGAAGTCTTGGGGTAACCGTCTTTCTCATCAGGATCTGATCCGATTCTTTGAGCATCAGCTCAAGATGAAGATTAGAACTGATAGAAAACGCTTGTATTCGACAGTCTTCAGCGAAAGGTGGGTGACTGAGGCGAGCTTGGTTCGTATGAACGGGGCTAGCCTTGATTTTCTGTTTTAGGTCAAGCCTACGTTACATCAGGGGTGGTTTCCTGTGGTGCCCTCCCCTTGGTTAGGTTAGACAAGCTTTTGTGTACCTAGTTAATGCGAGTAAGTGTTGTTCCCGGCCTGCCCCCCCGGCCACATCTTTAGTTATGATCCAGCCTGAGATTCCCAACCTCCCCAGTTTGTTTTTTAGACCCCCACTTTCTATTTCGACTGGGTCAGCTTTATACTTACCCATGCCCGTATGATTTTTTTATCACCTTTCCCACTCCCTTAGCGAGAGAGCTGCTTGATTTTGTTCCAATGGGCAGAATACAGTGGTCTCCCTGCCTTTTGAGGGTTGGACGGGCCCTACTAACATCAGTTAACGTTTAATTTCATTTATGTGAATATTTTAGTTCCTTATTGGGTTCATCTCCACCCCCTCATCTTTTCATTTTAGAATTTTGTACATATGTGTTAGGATCATTAAATTATTATGACACGGGGCGCGTTTTGTAGGTCTCCCTAGAGTGGATGTGTTATTATGGTGCATGGAGGATTGATTGGTGACGGACGAGTTCTTATCGTGAATGAGTAAATTGTAATGTCTGAATGGGTCGTGAATCAAATTAGCTAGGTATAAGATAGTTAGTGAAGACCAGTCTTACCCCCTCCCCCTTTTCGGCCTTGTGCCACAATTTTGTATTTTTTTACAAAATAAATCCCAGCTACACTTGCCTACTTGTGTGTTGGACCACTGGAAAGCTAACCAATATTCTACAATGTCGAAATTCTTAACAAGATTCAATGGGTCTGTAAACTACGTTGATTTAGCATTTCGACTTCAGTCACTTTCTCACCGACGTGGCATCCCTCTGTCTTTTCTTCAAATATTTTAAAGGCTTTTTTCTTAGTGCCTTGACTGAATGAATTTAAACGCGCTACTAGATTGGCAA